CAGGTCTATCTTTGGGACCCAATAAGTCATTTATGCTTCTAGAAAACTCAAAAATACTATTCTGTTGGGTGGGGTGGCATATGCCTGTAATCCCAGCACTTCGGAGGCTTAAGACAGGAGGATTGCCACAACTTTGAGGCCAGCCTGAGCTACATAGTGAGCTCAAGGACAGCCTGAACAACATGGCAAGACAGTGTTTCAAAAAATATATTTTTTTTTCAATCAGTATAAGTCAATGACGTAAATCTTATACAGCCCCAAAATGATTTTCTAGGCGTAAACCCTACAAATATTAATATAAATATAAATCCTAATAATCAAAATGATGAAAGTGACTTTGTTCCTTCATTCACAAAACACTCGTGCAATCTGCACTAGACAACTGTACAAGGTCAAATACATACTCATCAATAAAATATTATTTTCAAGGCATTTGGAACCCACCAGGGAAGGTGGGCAAACAATTTTGTGACAGGGAACAAATATTAATAATAATAATAATAATAATAATAATACCATGAAAAATAATGGTAACATTTGAGAACATCTTGTAAATCAATAGGAAAGAACCCAGTATCATTAATGGGGAGGGGAGGACAACCCAGAGGTGGAAGAAACAGGCAAGATATGTATAAGCAATATACACACAGATTAAGAGTGAAATCATAACCGAGAAGTGATTAGTGTTCATTAATATTAGCATCAAAGATTGACCGAAACAATAATATATTTCTCACTGGTTCCCAAACACCAAAAATGTTAATATTCAGGGATGATGTAAGCAAATGGGCACTGACATATAAAGCTAATTGGCAATGATCAATAGACCTCTATGTAAGACAATGGTTTGGCAAAAGCTTTTAAAATATGTCATATTCCCAGTCAGGTCACTCTAAGGACAAAGAAAGCTACAAACCAATTTCCTTTATAACAGCAGAAGCAAAGATCTCTAACAAAATATCCACTGGCAAATAGAATCCTGTTAATATAGGTAAATGAAAACAAGTCATAACCACACCTGATTTTTTCCATAGGAATTTAAATAGGTTTTACATTAGGAAGAATTTTAAAAAATTAATGTACCCTATCAACAGACTAAATCACTACATGATCACCTTATAGTTACAGAGAAGGCATCTGACAGATTTTATTATCCATTTATGATAAAACACTAAGCCAGGTGTAGAAGAGAACTTTCCCAATCTGATATAGATTATTTACAAAAAACAGTACCTAATATCAAGAGTAGTGATAAAAGACAGACTGCATTCTACTTCCTGAGATCAGGAACATATAGGTATCTACTCTTACCACTGCTATTCCTAAACAGTATAGTCAGACAAGAAAATGAAATAAAACGCACACAGATGATAAAGTAATTATGATGTTTTAAATAACAATGGTTTAATCAGAGAAAAACCCAGAGAACTCACCATAAAGCCACAAAGGTCAGGTTTGGAATGATTCATATACAAAAATCAATTTCATTTCTGTATATTGACAAGAATTAATTAGAAATTTTAAAAAATTTTAATACCATTTAAACAGCTTTAAAAATATCAAACAGTAACAAAATACATGCATGGTATATGTGCTTAATATTATAAAATAATGTTGGGCAGGGGATTTAGCTCAGCAGTTCGGTGGCCTGCCTTGCAAGCGCAAGGATCCGAGTTCAATCCCCGGTACCAAAAAAAAAAAAAGAAACATAAAATGATAAAACAATGTTAAAAGGCATTAAAGGAGACCTAAATAAATGGAAAAATATATCCATAGGCTCAAAAGAATCAATAGTAAAGATGTCAATTTGCTCCAGATAAATTACTAAATTAATTTAAACTGAATAAAGATATGAGCAGGTTTTTTTGTACAAATCAATCAGCTTATTCAAAACCATAGGAAAATTGGCCGGGCATGGTGGTGCATGCCTGTAATCCCAGTACTCAGGAGGCTGAGACAGGAGGATCACTGCGAGTTTGAGACCAGCCTGGGCAATACAGTGAGTTCCAGCTCAGTCTCAACTACATAGGGAGACCCTGTCTCAAAAAACCAAAAAAAAAAAAAAAACATAGGACAATGCACTGGTCCAAAAAATAGCCCAAAGTTTTAGGCAAAAGACACCAAATATAAGACTCACAGTATCTAACATTTACTATAAGGCTACTCTAATCAAAGATAGGAGATACTGCAAAAGAATAGACACAGAACAGAACTAAGCCCACAAAGAAAACCACACATACATGGTGAAACTGACTTTCCAACAACAGTGAACGTAGTTCAAAGGAAAAAGCATGTCTTTTCAACAAATGCTTCTAGATGAATTAGATACCCATATACAAAGAAGCAAACCTCAACTTTTACGTAGCACTACCATATACAATTATGATGAAGTAGATCATAGCTCTAAATACAAATGCTAAGACTATGAAACTTCTAGAAGAAAATATAGGAGAAAATCTTCATGACCTTGGATTAACCAGTTTTATCAGATATGACATGTTTATAAATTATAAAAGAAAAACTGACAAATACTTCAAAATGTAATATTTCTACTCCTTGAAAGACATTTAAGTAAAAATAAGCCATACAGATAGGGAGAAAATATTAGCAAAATATCTAATAAGGGATTTGTATCAAGAATCCAGCTGGGGATGTAGCTCAGTGGCACAGCACCTGCCTGGCAAGATTGAGGCCCTGAGTTTGATTCTGAAAACTAGTAAGGCAAGCAACCCAATTTTTTTGTTTGTTTGTTTATTTATTTTTGTTTTCGTACCTGGGACTGAATTCAGGACCTTGTACTTGCAAGACAGGCAGCAGCAGCACTGAGCTAAATCTCTGGCCCAACACAATTTTTAATACAGGTACAAAAGACTTCCACAATTAATCAAAGAATATATATGAATAGCAAGTAAGCACATGAAAAGATGTTACTAAGAAAATGCAAATTAAAACATTAATAAAGATAAGTTTACAAAAAAAAAAAAGATTAGTTTACAGACCTAGTACAATGGCTAAAATTTAAAAGTGTGACAACACCGCATGCCGAGTGCTGAAGGATCATAAACTACAGCAAGAACAGAAATTCAGTGAGCCCATCTGGAAAACACCTAAAGATTCTCAAAGTTAAGCATAGCATCCCAGCACCCCACTGCTAATTATATAGCCCAGAGAAATGAAAATTATCTCCACAGAAACCTAGATATGAATGTTTATAGTTGCTTTTGTCATAAACACCAAAAACGAAACAATCAATGCCTAATTAAACATCTAGATTCAGCAAATCCATAAATTGTACGTACAGAACTTAGCAACTAAAATACATCCAGTAACAGTATCTAAGTGAAAGCCAGACACAAAAGGCAATACATAGTGTGATACTGTTTATATGTTATTTTGAAAAATGCAAAACTACAGTAACAGCAATCAGATTAGCGGACCTGAGGGTGAACTCAGGTAACTTGACTACAAAGAAAAAGGAATGTCCTGAAGTGATGCAACTATTTAACACATAAGTATAGTAGTGATTACACAAATGTTTGCAGAAGCTCAAACTGTATGCTTTTTTTAAAATTCAGTTTACTTGTACATCAGTTATCTAAAATAGCTTTTAGAAAGTTTAATGTCTTTTGCTATGTTCGTTTCACTGTTTTTTCAAATGTCCAGTGAGGTGTACTTAAAACCGATGATGTAATAATGTGACCAATTTATATGCTATTACAGAATTATATGATTCCTTTGTAATCTTTTCTTTTTTTCTTGGTAACTCAGGATAGAACTCGGCCCTCCTTTATAATCTTAACTCTATTTTATTCCTTTAATTATATTCATGACTCCAAAAAGATATAGAAAACAATTTTAGTACATTCCTGAATGAATTCTAACTTCTCCTTACTTCACTTATTTTAAGTGAGACTTACTGTAGACTTAGTGTCTGATTAACCTACAGCAGAACAACACAGTATAGGATTGTGCAACAGGTTTTTCCATCCTCACCTATATTAGGAATCCACTTCATAGGATATTTTAAGATCCGAATGTCACAACTTCTAGAAAATGCATCGAATGTAACATGGTAAGCCCTCAAAAGTACAACTTCTATTTTCAAAAAAATCATTAGCTAATTAACACCTTTCCAAATTTATGGCTCAAAACCTAACACATTATTTCCTGCTAGCGTTTTATTTAACACTCTAAGAGTTGGGCTGAATTTTTTATTTAATTGTCTTTCAAGAGATGACCAAAATAAAGGGATACAAAGCAGGAAGAGAAATAATGGTGGGGAAGGAGAAACACATACTGCGTACTTATAAGCATCCCAAGAAATAGGTGCTTTATCTAGGTTCACTGTCTTACTCCTACCAAGTGCTTCCAAAGGGAAAAAAAAAGGAGAGGAGCTACACGCAAACTTTTAATAACCATCGTTAAGTAGACTTTAAGAGAAATATTCAATTTCTGGCTTGGTTCCCAAAAGTATATCTCTCACCAAAAATTAATTTCATGTTTAGAAAGATTTAAATAATTACAACTGCTCCTCAAAACAATTTCATCAAAGTGTATGTTAAGAATCATAATAAAAGCTCTTCACACCATAAACAATGAACCTCACTCCCTTCCTTTATGTCACAATAATGACTGGCTACTTTCAAAACACACCATCAGAGAGCCAGTAAATGAGATTAAAGTCAACAACCTCTTAGACTTTTTGTTATTGTGAAAAACATGAGAATTCCTTGGCATTTATTCTGTGTTTAAATATGGAGCAGAGGGAAGAATTCACTGCAAAAGGAGTTATTCCAAGGTTCTCTTAGTTCTTACTTCTCCTGAGTTCTGAAAAAGCAACAACTGGTACACAATAAATAAAGATGTAACAGAAGACATTCTATAAAGAGTAAACTGGGCTGGGGATTTAGCTCAGTGGTTCCACTGCCTGCCTCGCAAGCATGAGGACCTGAGTTCGATCCCCGGTACCAACAACAACAACAAAAAAAGAGTAAACTTACCGGTAATGCTTTATTCTCTTTAAGATCCAACCCAAACACATCACGCCGCTTCACTTTAAGAAAATCATCATCAGGTCCATCTTCTTCCTCATCATCTCTGTCCAAGAACTGCACAGGGACATCCTTGACTTTCTGTGCCCCATCCATGTTAGGAACAGACTGAGTTTGAGACTCTCTTGCTTTTCCAAGTTTCTCCTCCTTTTCTTCATCATCTTCCTCTTCTTCCTCCAGTTCTTCATCACTAGTACCACTAGCCAGCCTATACTCTGTTTCTTCTAGGCCCTTCCCACTTTTCTGTAGGATGGACATTTTTTCGCTGAAATAGGCTCTAAATTCTTCCACTTCATCATTGGTGAGGGATGGAGTCTTGTGCTCAATTATTTTGTTGGCTTGGCTCCTAACCAGTTCTTTGGTGGGCTGTTTCTGCATTTTCTGAAGAAATCTTATTCGTGGTGCCACAGCAAGACCAAGAGACCTTAAAATGAAAAAAAAAAAGAAAAGAACATTATTTCAGTACACTGAAAGTATAATATATTTACAGTATGGCTGAACAGCCTCCCAGAATGCTAGGCTTACAGGTATGTGACACCACACCTGGCTTAATATATTTTTTAAGAGGCACAATTAACTATATTATCTTCCTAGTCGCTGTCATCAGGACCATAGTTTGACTAAGCACTTAACTCAAGCAACCTGACCACCCTTCTCCACTGTCTCCTGTCACATATGGTGGCAGCTGTCCAAATTGGAGGTCTGTGCTCAGCCAGGTGTGATGACACACGCCTATAATCCCAGCACTGAGGAGGCTGAGGCAGGAGGATCCCTGTGAGTTCAAGACCTGCCTGGGCTACACAGTGAGTTCCAGGTCAGTCTCAATTACATAGTGAGACCCTGTCTCAAAAAACAGAAAAGAAAAGAAAACAAAAGAAAAGGGAAAAGGAAGGAAAACTAGCCTCCTGACTAACCTCGAGTCACCTTTGTTCCCACAATCCTAGTAAGAGATTTCAGAAATCATACCCACAGATGCTCACACTTAGAGCTGAGGTCACTGTGCTTCCCCTTTGCAAATATAATTACAAGCAATGGTCTCCATAGGAGACACTCCCAAATGTTCCTCTGAGACACAACTTAGTGCTGACAGGTTAAATGAGCCAAAAGGCAAGTCAAAAAGGAACTGAATATCTAACCAAAAGCATTTTAGCTACCTGGTTTTTCTTTAAGTAATATGGATAAAAATAAGAGTACTGAAACAGAAACAAGATAGTCACAGTTTAAGTACCGAACCCACCAACTCACCCTCAGCTTCCTCACAACAATGTGATATTAATATCGACCAGGCCTACCTCACTACTGCTGTCAAGATCCAATTAGGAAATACATGAAATGTAGGAAAATACCTTGTAGAATATAAATTACTACATAAAATGAAAAAGATAGGACCATGAAAGGACAAATCCAATTATCTACAAAAAATGAAATGGAGTATCATCACACCCCACCACCTTTCTGAAACAGATTATGGCCCAATCACTGCTATTAAATAAATTTTAATTTAAAAAATAACAAGAAAAAAACTTTTGTTTTCTCCATGTGAAATCAAAATTCATTTTAAGATTAGGTCTTCTCACTGAAGATTAAAGCTAACAGCTTTCACTTTATTCTCAGTGGTAGATTAGAAATATTATCTTAAACAACTGCCTTAGTAAATAGCTAACGTTGTAATGGATTCTCTGCCTTTTTCCTACATGACAAGAGTCATGTCAGAAACAGAGGTGTTGTACTGAAAAGCAGAAATTCAGAAATAGGACTGTTGAGGTTCAAATCCTGGCAACATTACTGATGGTATTAATTAATTGATCTAGACATCTGGGTGTGGTCACACATCCCTACAATTGTAACACTCTGGGAGGCTGAGGCAGGAAGATCACAAGTTCCCAGCCTGGGCAACTTAGCAAGATCCTGTCTCAAAACAAAAAAGGGCAGAGAAATTAGCTCAACATGAAGGCCCTAGGTTTAATCCTCAGTGCAAAACAAGCAAACAAAAACAAAAAATCTTCTCTAGACTTTTCCCTGTTTGCAAAAGCAGGTGATGAAGAGTAACTAGCTCAAAAGCTGTTGTAAATAATTAGTTGACATATTGAATGCATTTATAATTAATACTTTTTCAGCTACTAAAACTGAGTTTCTTGAAGATAGAAGTACAAATATATGTATAATGTTAACACTGAGTACAATGACGTACATATTAGACATTCAAAAATGTTCCTTCAACAAATTTTTTTAAACTTTGTTTTGTATCTTATGTACATAGCACTATTTCAGTCATCAAAGACAGAAAGAAAATTATACACCTAAGAAAATTACACATTCAAATAGCTATAAATACTAAAAACACCATTTAAACTGTATCAATAATTTCAGAAAAAGTTAATTTTCTACCCTTTCTAAGCATCGCAAAAAGCAGAAGTCTTCAACTATAAACATGATATTTATTTGAGTTCGATGTAACAAAACACCTGAAAAATACGGCCCTGAAGTATTAAAAACCTGTATCCATCTACGTTGCTAATATTCCAGCTAAGCCAATCAGAAAACCAGGATAGAATGTCACATACAGCATGAAAATCGGCTAACACCTAAACCATGGATCATATTCCGCAATGGTGAAAGTATGGACTGGCAAGCAAACAAAACCGTGTTATCCGTGGCACACAGTTTTCCATCCACGAAAACTCCGTGACCCTAACACTGCTATCTAGCAATTTAAAGGTTCTGAAATAGTATAACTGACAAACTACATGTTATATTAAACTTACAATCTAATATCAAGAATAGAAAACAGGGCTGGGGATTTAGCTCAGTGGTTCCACCACATGCCTTGTAAGCACAAGGACCTGAGTTCAATCCCTGGTATCCAAAAAAAAAAAGGAAAGAAAACAGCAGTTTATACATATGAAAGTTTCTGTCAGATTTAATTTAAAGTTAAGTGCGGGCCGGGGATTTAGCTCAGTGGTTTGGTGGCCTGCCTTGCAAGCGCAAAGACCCGAGTTCAATCCCTGGTACCAAAAAAAATTTAAAAATTAAAAAAATAAATAAAGTTAAGTGCACTGAATTCCTGTAGAGCAGGGAAAACTTTCAGACCCGCCTAGCACCAGTTCATCACAGTCAAGGAAATGCCATATTTGATATTCAAAGTAAGAGGACGCTCACAAGTGCATCTATAGGATTGTGTCGATGCTTTTCCTACAAGAAGTACTCTCTTAAAGAATGTGTACTTCTTTATAGGCAAAAAGCATTTGTTTTGTTAAATCCTTCAAATATGCAGCCAAAACAAAAACAATCATCATTCAATTCATATAATGGTACCCTTAATCACTGTACTGACATTTTGCCAAAATAACTGCAAGTACCTATAATACCAAGACAAAGAACATACAGAACATAGAAATATGAAACTGAACACTTAACTGTCCACAGAGCTGATTTAATCCTTTTCTCTGTAGATCTTCAACAGAGCCTTTTAGGGTAAAGCACAGTGGTTTAAACTAGGACTCTCAGATAACCGGAGTGGAAACAGTTTTCCTCTTTGAGGACACACAATAATAGCAATATTATGTACTTACAGGGCATATTCAGTAACAGGTAACTTGCTCACATCAAATACTTCTTTATCCTTCATAAGATATACTGAACGTATGTAGGAGACAAAACACTGTAAGACAAAAGGTTAAGAAGTACAACATAATAGAAATCGAAAATGAAGTTAGACCAAAATTCAGTGGACCTTCAAATCACGATCAGCCTGACACATGAACAACCTAACTGGGTTAATCAGGTTAATGAAAGATTCACCTGTTCTTTTTATCTATAGTGTATACCTAGGTAAACATCCAGATCTCAGCTGTATGGACTTATAACCAACCCTCCCTCAGGAACCAAGTGAGTTCATAAGATAGGGTCCACTGTAGAAAGAAAACTAACCAAAAGGATAAATTCAACAACAATTAAAAACCACAATAGGTCAACCATTCTGTACATATACACACACAAAAAAAAAAAAAAAAAAAAAAAAAAAA